GAGCAGCGTCTTTGTTACCCAGTGTTGCAAGTATTCCACAGGCCGCCCATATGATGAGACAGGGCCCCACGGCTTCCGTGTTGCTGAGCACAGACTTGGGGGAAATGAAGATCCCAGAGCCGATGATAGTGCCCACAATGATGCAGATGCCACTGAGCAGGCCCACCTCAGATGTGGAAGAAGGAAGAGGAACGTTAATGTTACACAGGATCCAGCCCCAGCCCTCTCTCTCCCTCCCCGCTCCTCTTGGGTGTGGCCCACGCAGCCCCAGGTGAAGCCCGCCTTGTCCCAGGCACTTTCACCCTGTGCTGTTGCAGGAGTGACACCAGGGTGCTGTTCCTAGGGCTTTGCTCATACTAAAGCCCATTCATCCTCACAACAGCCTCACGGGTTGGGCATACCATTATCATACCCATTTGACAGAAGAGAAAGTGGAGGCACAGAAAGCTTCCATTCTAGTCCAGAGTTATACAGCCAGTGGGGTTGGACCTGGCTCAGGTCCCATACACCAAAACTGCCCTTACTGCCCTGGACAAAGGGGCTCAGATGGCAAAGGCTGATTTAGCAAACAATCCCCAACAAAAAAGGCTCTGGGGACCTGCCTCTCAGCTGGGCAGATCAGAATGAAGCTTCTCCCCCACAGCTAAGGGTGACCTCAGGGATTGGGGTCCTGGCCAGGGGTGTCACAGGGCAGGGTGGGGGGTGAGCAACGGAGGCCTCCAGAGACAGGAACACTTGGGGGCTGTGAACTTCCTCTGAGGGCATTTTGTAGGGTATGAGCTTCCTCTCAACAAGACCCAGCTCAGACACACACCATTGGATTCCATTTCTATGAGATTCCAGAACAGGCAAAACTAACCTGCAGGGATAGATAGAGCTGGGGGAGTGGGGGGCCCTCTGGGAAAGGGGTTGCAAGAGGGCACTTTCTGGGGTGAACATTTTTGTCACAACTCATTAAAATGAACACTGAAGATCGGTGCATGTCACTGTATGTAAATTATACTTGAATCAAGAAAGGAAAACACTTTTTGAAAGGGAGAAAATGTCTGACTCAGGGCCCTACTTATGACATCAGCCCTCAGAAACCACTAGCCTGGTTTCTGGATCCCCAGGTGAACGTGCTTGAGTGCCTCTGTCTGGGTAGAGGCTGTGCTCAGGGTTAAAGCCTAGAGAACAAGACTTGCGACCAAGAGACACACACAATGGAAGGAGGGGTCCCAGGGAGCAGTGTCAGCTTCCATCCTGGCCTCAGCTCTCAGCTTGCCTCAACCTTTAACTGTGGGGCTTGGCTCACCAATACTTCGGGATCCCCAAATTCCTTCCTCCTGCCGAGGTCTGCATTCACCCCAAGCTATCTGGGTTTAGGACTCGCCTGGGGTTAGCTCAGTCATGCTCTTTTCATGGCCAAAAGGGAGGGTTTTGCTGCCTATCATCCGACTCCTGGGGACCCAAGATCCCAGGCCAACTCACAATCAAGCCATTCCACCTCCCTTGTCAATCCCCAGA